AAACGGTACCTTCGGGACGACAGTTATAGCCTGAGAACAGAACAATGACAAAGAGACAAGAAAGAGAGGACCTTTGTTGTCGTTCTGTTCCGGCTATATAAGTGTCGTCATGTCCTACCTAACTAGCCGAAACCGCCACACATCGAAGGTACTTTCGTGCCCTGCTAGAAGATGCCAACAGTCAATCGAGTTAACCCTTGGTCCATCAACGCACATCCATCAACGCACAAGTTCATCAACGCACAAGTCCATCAACGCACAAGTTCATCAACGCACAAGTTCATGACATCAGACATAATCCCCTCCTCAGCGAAGCCGTGCACGCTCCGCTCCTTTGAGACGTAGAACGCTGGAAACATGCATATGAGTGGATTCGTTCAAGTCGTCTGCACAAAAGATGCGTGGTGTCCTGTGGGCACAGTACTTTGCAAAATATTATATCTTGTCTTTATATGTAATGTATCTAGCTCATAAGTCATAAACCAATCATCTTTAAAGGGTTCTATAGCTGATCGAGGAACGCTCTTCTTGTACTTTAGGAAAGAATATCTCTTGTGTATAGTTCATCGTAATGTATATAGTGCATTCAAACGTAAATGAATGAGCAATATGTATGGAATGCACGTATAAAACGTTATGTCACCCATATATGATAATTGGAGATGTGTATAAAAGATTCGAGTTTCACACGATAATCTCCGAGCGAAATCCTCCAACGTCATTCACTTAGTGGATAAGGCGGTGAGTTCTTTTTATCCTTTTCTTATTTTCACAAAATACTATTTTTTCTGATTGATACAATTTATCATAGCAGCCTCTTGTTGCCTTCCCCTTTTTGCTGTTGTCCTCTCCTTTTTCTTTGTTTGCATTGGGGAGAAGGTATGAAGCATACACACACAAGCGATAATAAATCAGTTGCAGCCTTCAAAAAGACTTGTGCGCTTTTCAGAACGTCGGCCCTGGTGCACATATATCTGTTTTAAAACTTTTCATCGCAAGCTTCCATCATTTTCTTTCTTGCTGTTTTTGCTCGACTATTACACGTTGAAACTTTGCCCCCCCCCCCCCCTCATAGTGCCCTTATAAATTTCATTGTGTGCCCGTGCGTGCCTATAATATTATTATTTGCTTTTGAAGCTTCTTTTTGTGAAACCAGCATGTGGTCTGTTATACACCGCTTCTTTTACTGTATCCAATGGATGCTGGAGCTTTCCCATGTCCCGCCACCACAAAAACAGCTCTAGCAGAACTCACACAATAACCAGAAGGTAGGCAAAGGGCGGGGAGAAAAAAACCCTTGCTTCTCGGTGGACGGTTTCATAGCAGAACTGCCAGGCCTTCTGAAATTCTAAGCCGTTGAACAACAAGAAGGTCAAATGCAGTGCGGGACATTCTTCTTAAAGCACTTAAGACCTCTAGCACAAAGGTTTATGCGAGAATAGCTCTTCATTTGATGAACACCTGCCATTTAAAGTGGCGAAATACGTGCGTGAAAGCATTTTGTAAAGCGGAATTCGTTTCCAAGTAATTTGAAATTTTGAAAAAAATGAAATATTATGAGAGTGCTATTGTTTACCGCTGAGTTCTGTTGTTGGAGAGCCCGTAGAAAAAAAACGCGAGCCAACATTGTTCGCTCAAAATACCTCAGTACAGAAAGGATTCACCTGAAGCCCACAATGAAACAGGTAGTCGTAAGCTGTCATCCGATGCAACTGCGAGTGTCTCTGACAATTCTGATCCTTTTTTTAACGGATTCCACAAGTTCTATAGGCTGTCTTCCAAAATGTCGTGCGACCATATACTGCATAAGGATGTAAGTAATGGTTTTATTCACGCTGAGTGAATTCGCAAAGCTTGTAATGAACAAATCCTAACAGTTTGATAAGAAACTTTATTCGGAGAACACTGACACTTTTGACGCTCTTTAACACCCGGAAACTTCACAAAAAAGGCGCCCAGGCTATATTTTAGAGCATACAAGTGTTTTAAAAGTGACGTCCTACCAACGATGTCAGTATATGAAGTGCTGTTGAGTGAAGTGTTGATGAGTAAAAAACTGCTCACGAGCTGAGTGCCGTTCTCGTCAACCTTGTGCCGCTCGTATGTTCCTCGATCCATGCTCAATTTTAGAGAAACGGTGAATTTCCCGCAGAACACGTGCTAAAACCTTTACAATGGTTACGTGTCTGTGTGCTGCATAAGAATGTCATGAAAAGCCGTGAATGAGAGTTTTGTGGCTGAGTCGAAATTTTGACAGGAGGACTTTTGTTCAGCGAAGCTGGAACTGCTCGAGCGCACAATCTTCGTTACGGACACTTTTTTTTATTCGAAAGCTTTCATATTCGTATTCCTGCCGTTTTTTGGTGAAAGGTGTCTTGAAAGGCCATTTTTTACGTGAGACTGCTTAGAAACAGCGCGAGAACAGGACCACGCTTAGGTGAAATTCAAGATAAACCCTGGCAAACAAGTAGCACAAGTTTATGGTGTCGCAAATTATTCACCGAAAAACGATCCTGAGAACGATGAAGCTTTTTGTGCCAAGAACAAAAAATTAAAAACACGTGGGTCAGCAAGCGTTGAGTCACGCTTCTATTGTAATACTGCTTTTATCAAGTTAAATATGAATTCTTGTATCGGGGCGAGCAATCCTTGTAATTTCCTCCCTTTGACTGTGCTACAGTTCATGCAGTTTTTTCTTGTTATTCCTTCTTTTTTTGTATATATCTTTCGTCAAAATAACTTTCGTCAGTTTTTCGTTACCACTTGTCTTTTGTGCTAACTTTATTTGGTATCGTTATCGCCTAGGTTCGACACATTTTATGTGTTAATTTTTTGTCTTCTTCTAGCAAATATACATTTGTTAAAGGTAAATTACAAATGGGGACAAATTGCCATAATAGAAAACGTTATTTAGGTGTTTCCATTGGCTTCTTCAGCTAGCAGTGGCACCCCACAAGTAAGGCATAGGAGCCAGCTTTTGGAGCACGTTGCAAGATTTCCCAAAGAGTTTCCAAAGTAGTGTTGAACAAAGCACAATGTTGCACTTGTTTTACCCAAGTTCTTTCTATCTATCTATCTATCTATCTATCTATCTATCTATCTATCTATCTATCTATCTATCTATCTATCTATCTATTATCTATCTATCTATCTATCTATCTATTTATCAATGAAAATCACGCGAACAACTTGACATGCCTGGTATGAAATTTTGCCACACAATAAAATGTCGCACCTACTTGAAACTGTGGCACAAGATATGCTGACAAGTGACAAAAATACTACACAGCCTATCTTAATCTACGACACCGAAGAAATACAGTTGAAGCTATTTAAGGATTTTCACGGTAACTATAAGCACGGGAACGTGCTTACTTATGCTGTGTTTGGCTACTCGAACGTGTCACTGAAGCCGTTACTTATATACCGACGTTACTACTCAACCTGCCGTATAGCATAGGTCATCCTCTGATGCTTACGCCAATGAATGCTTACTCAATTTATTTAGGGAGAAATAGACGTTCGTGACCATACAGCTGGGCCGTCGTTATGTCAACCATTGAGCCAATAGTTGAACAATAAATGACAAGTGCAGTCAACGTCCCTGGTAAGCCAATGTTGTGTGCACAACTACTCAGTGCTTTAAACTTTCGGATACCTCGTAACGCTTACATTTATTCAGTCTACATGCATCTCAGAAGATGCCTCCTCTTCAGAAATCATCGGACATCTAAAAACTTTTTATTCTTGAATTATTCTAGCCTTGCGTCCCCCACCCGTGTTCCTCCTTGTGTCCGGTCTGTCTTAATCAACTTTCAGGAGATGAAAAATTTCTTTTCATTTTATAAAGACCCCAATGAAAGCAACCTATTTGTGGCATAGATGCGGATCAAGTGGAAAGTAAATACCGCGATAACTGTGTCTCCATGAAAGTTATGTAATTTATTCTATTTCAACTTGAACCATGTGACCATAAACACGTGCTTTATAACCATGCCATGCCTTCTACCAAGCAGATTCCTTTATCAATTGATGGTGTCTTAAGCGCCTTAGTCTCCTTCTGACCACGCAGTTGTGCGAAATGATTTATTTGCGGATATTTGAATAGTTTCGGTCGGCTAGACAAGCTTTTGTAGTATAGTCGGCGTCACAAATTTAGAAATCACTAGAACTGAAAAGACTACAGTTCTCGAAAATTTCTTCATGTATTTGGTTGACTTACACAATTGAATTTGTTGACAAATTTGGAAAGTATAGGAAATTTATATTTAAGACTGCCTGATTAAGCACCGAGTATAGTAGGCTCTGCTGTCTATCTCATGGTCTATAGATATTGTGCACTGACTGTCGAATGCGTACGCGCAATGAAATCTCTCCCAGCGCATGTCCCTACATACTAGCTTGAAAACTCAATCTCACTTGTTTCAGTAGCAACTGCTACTGAAACAAGTGAGCCTTTCGTCGGCTCACAAAGCAGTCAAAGCTGTCTTGTGCTTTTTGAGGACTACAGGCCTACGTGACCACCTTTCTTTCGTGTAGTGCCACCGCTGCATACGCGCCAGCCGATTGACTGACAATCCTCTTTTTTTCTCTTTCTCTTCTCTTTCCGTTCTCTCTCATCTTTATGCCCCTTCACATTTCCCCAGCGTAGGGTAGCTAACCGGGCAAGTGCCTGGTTAACCTCCCTGCCTTCCCTCTTGTTGTCTATCACCCCCCCCCCCCCAATCTCAGTTGTGTTTCTGTTTCTTGATAAAAATTAGTATTCAATTTAGCGCCTTTCTCCTCCCGTCCTTTTTCTTCCCCCTATTCTTGCCCGCGCGAAATATCAAATCAATAATTTTTGTACACCGCCTGAGTTACGTTTCTTACACAAAAATTATTTTTCTCTCTCTATGAACACACTACAACCAGCTATATTAGCAGAATCTTTAGTAACTTTACTACATTGCTTGCATTGTTTTAATATATTATTTTTTGGCTGATTCACCTTTCAGTTCGTAAACACGTCCCAGAAAATGTGGACGTATAAAATCAGCAAGCAGGGCACCATTAGGTGTCAGTACAATCAGATGCGTGACATCACCCCACAATATATAGTTTACAACAGGACATTCTTGCACAATGAACAAAGGTAAGCTTTTCCTAATTTTTTTCTTTCACATATACATAATTTTTTTCATTCTTATGATTTGTAGACGCAGTATAATCCTTCAGGGAGAGTTTCATGTACGACACAGGAACTTGATGGACGTGTACGCCATCGGTACGGTAAATAATTTGAATACTATACTTTAATTAGTGGACGCAATTACACTGACAGCCACGCTTTTTACTGGTAGTCATTTTTGTCAAGGTTTTCGCACAGCAGCGTTTTGACAGCGAAGCTGTTGTGGCTGGGCGATGATTGTAGCGTTGTGCCTGAAAACTATCATCACTATGAACAAGCATATGCGAAAGAATTTTGGTAAATCACTGGAGTCGTACTTGCTAAAGTTCTTGCACGACAGCATTTGGCAGCGAAGAGCTGTTCTGGCTAGGCGGCAATTGTGGAGTTGTGCCCGAAAACTGTCTTGTCTTGTCTTGTCGCCTAGAAGATCTTTGTTCATACCCACAAGGCGGATCGGCCACACTGTACCTTATTGCAGATATTTTTTGTACAACGCTTGATAAAAATAGAGCAGAAATTAGATAAGAACAATAATAATGTTTCTTTGGAAAAACGTGAAAAAGTGCGGAAGAATTCGATAAACCAGAATTTAAAAGCAAATTAACAAGAGTGACATGGCTCTGAACAGGTATGTGGCACAGAGTCTGACCACATTACTGGCAGTCATACCTGCTAATGTTTTTGCGCAACAGCATTTTGGCAGTGAAACTGCTCTGGCTACACGACAATTGTGGAGTAGTGCCCGAAATCTATTATTACTATGAACGAGTATTCGCCACTAAATTAGGGCAAATCCTACCACATAGGATAACTTTAATAGATGAGCGAACAAATACATAGAGGTAAATAAAGAAAGAAACAAAGTGGCGGAGACAACAAAAGAAAAAATTTATTGCAAAAAAGAGAATGTTTGGCAAGTTGGCACTCGAACCCTCTATTCGAAAACAAGTGTCATATCTACTCGTATAAAATGACACATTTTTACAGCAAAACCTCTTTTGAGAACACAAAATCAGCCGCGTGCGCCGTACTTCTCCACCGCCGCCACTGCTACCACCATTGTTATTAACCACTAACGCGCAAAATAAAAACAGAAATTACAGAAGTAAAAAAAACGAACAAAAAGCATTCAAACCTTGGCTCACCTGCGCGACACCAAGTATTTTAACACATTGCTGAGCCCGTATTTCAAACTGCGAGGCGAACTGACCTTATTGGCAGACAATAAGGTTGGGAAAGAAATCGCGATAGTGTGAATAATACAGCGTTTTAGAACAGCAAAAAAAAGCAAACAACCAGGAGTCACACAATGTCACTTTCAGCAAGTGGGTTGTTGAGTGCTTCAACCTAATACAAAAAACTCCAAGCATATATGTCCGTCTTCGTCAGAGACAGTGCCGAAAGTCTCCCCAAATTTATTGCAAATGTGTACCATATGCCAAGCTTCTCCGAAGAAGGACGAATAATGAAATAGTAAATTGCTCCCTACTGCACAAAATTAGGATCATTATAGACGTAGTGGAGGCCCAGCAATAGTGCTTGTAGCAGTTACACAGCGAGTCCTCAGAAAAGGCATTGAAAGGCCCGACTCCCAGCTTTTGCTTTCAGTGTGCTGCACGTTCTGCGCAGACTTGGTAGTTTTTCCTTTCATGATGTTTCTTACACAACGCTTATTTGAAATTGTCACAAAGCAAAACCCAGCCTCCCTGTACACTTGTGATACTCGCAGTACCAATATCCTGATGTATAACGGGGATCCCAATCGACGCTCGATGCACGCATCCCGGAGGCACATGTTAGAGCAGTAATAATGGCACTCAAAACCAACTCCTCCCCGAGCACTGAAGGAATAACGAACAGAAGTATAGGAAACCTGCACAACGCTTCCATCAGCGCTATGACGATGTACATGTAAGAAATTCGGGCTAAACACCTGCTACTGCAGCCAGTGGAAGTCGGCAACAGTAATTCTAATTCTAAAGCCAGGCAAACTCGCGACAATAGTAAATTCAAAGACATATTTCTCTAAACTCGTGATAATGAGAACTGAAGAACACGTAGCTCAGACCCGACTAATGTGTTTCACAGTAAAATAATGACTTGTAGCCGCTGTAGACGGTCGTCTTCCGACAGGGCTTGGGCACGCAGGACATGTTGCTCCAACTCAAACAAGATATAATCGGTACGCGTTCCATAGATGCTAAAGTAATTCTTAGCCTGGAATTGACAAGAGCCTTCGATATTGTTACTCACGATTCTGATTTCCGGAAGACCATGCAGGATAGGAGCGCTAACTTAGGGTTAGATTCAGGACGTTTTGTCAGACAAAATTGTCTGCTTAAAGTTTCAAAACATTGAATCGCCCCCAATCTATTTATGTTCCAAGAATGTGCCACAGTGGTGAATTCTTTGTCTGTTCCATATGGCAATGTGGGACCTCTCTGATGCTTTAAAAAACATAGAGATGCGAAAATTCAGTATGTATGTGGATGACATCACTCTATGGACTAACAAGAGAAGTGATGCGAAGATTAAGGAGTGCCTAGAGGTGGCGGCGGACATTGTGGTGATAGATAGATATAGATAGCTAGATAGGTAAATATAGATAGATAGATAGACTGATAAATAGATAGATAAGTAGATATATAGATAGATAGATAGATAGATAGATAGATAGATAGACAGACAGATAGATAGATAGATGATAGATAGATAGATAGATAGATACATAGAAAGATAGATAGATAGATAGATAGATAGATAATAGATAGATGGATAGATAGATAGATAGATAGATAGATAGATAGATAGATAGATAGATAGATAGATAGATAGATAGATAGATAGATAGATATGGAGGCGGAAATGTTGTAGGCCCGTGTGCTCAGATTTGGGTGCACGTTAAAGAACCCCAGGTGGTCTAAATTTTCGGAGCCCTCCACTACGGCGTCTCTCATAATCATATGGTGGTTTTGGGACGTTAAACCCCACATATGAATCAATCAATCAATTAGATAGATAGATTGATAGATAGATAGATAGATAGATAGATAGATAGATAGATAGATAGATAGATAGATAGATAGATAGATAGATAGATACGCTCAATGTCAGCGATGTTAAATATTCTTCGCATTAAAAAAAGAGACTTGCGAAAATTGCCACGCAAGCGTTTGGATTATTTAGAAGGAATGCGCTGCAATGATGCGGCACTCAAAAAAAGATGCGTGATCAAACTAACCCAAGCATGCGAAATAAGCTATGTGTGCTATGACATGCCTTTTTCGGGCATCAAGTCTGAGGAGAAATACATTCGCTCAATCGACGGTGCATAAAGAGGGCCTTAGATTTACCAATAAGCACCTCAACAGAGAAGCTTTTGTCTATGGAAGTGCACAACACCTGGTATGAAATGGCGGAGGCTGTTAGAAATTTGCAGCTCGATCGACTAAGCCAAAAAAAAAAACACAGGCAGAGTTGTCCTCAATTTTGTTTGCCGGCCAACCGATAGGAAACCACAAGTAAAATAATAAACCTTTTTGAAAGACTGCCGAGAAAAATTAAATATTTCCCTTCCTCCCCCGAAGCACGCACCCTATAGTGCATGCATAGAGGAGCAAAAGAGAGCACAAACTGTAATGAAAAGATTTGGATTAATGGACTTGAAGTCAGCTGCGTACGGGGACGCGGAAAGTGGCAAATCGGGAGTGGTTGTCACCTTGAAATTCCACAGAGAAGGTGTCCAGTATCGGCAGCCACTTTTAGAATCTTCAAAACGGAAACAGCTGAAGAACTTGCGAAAGCGCTCACTTAATTTGGAACGCAAGATCATTTTATAATCAGCCATAGCAAGACGATCATCTGGATTTTTATCAAAGGTAGGATCTCGCCAAATGCGGCAATGGTTCTGTCCGGTAGATGGGTAAACAGAAAACTTAGCCTAATTTGGACCCCAGCGCACAAATCCATCCCTGACAACGAGGCGGCCCACGAGTTAGCTCGAGCTCTCTGCTTCCGGGTGTCTGCGGAGTCGCTTGACTGCCAGAACAAGACGATCGTCAATAAAATTTCACTGAAATCGTTTAAAATTATCGGCTACTTAGGAAAGCAGTGCCTCCTCGAATAAAAGCCTAAACAATAGGGAGGCAGGCGCATGATGGCACTCGCAAGCTGCCAAGTTCTTAAACCTGGTCTGGGCGTATCATGTGTAGAAAGACAATAGACAAACCGATATACGCAAGCACTGTGAGGCAAGAGGAACCCTCAGCCACATACTATGGGAGTGTAATGGCTTTCCAGGAGCTAAGTGAAAGTTTAACTGTAGAGAGGCCTGCGAAGCCTTGCTGCGGAGCGAGGACCCTGATTAGTAGCAACAAGCAATCTACCTGGCAGAAGAATCCGCAAGGAGTCGGAACCTCTTCACCTGCTTCTAAACTCAGAGGTGCCGGCCCCCGTCACTTAGGCATGTGTGCCGGGGATGGAGAGTAGGGGGCCTCCCTATACTGCGAAACAATAATGTCTGTCATTCATTTATCCAGCCATCGTAGTATTGTAAAGTAGTGCGTTTATCAGTGCACTTCAAGCAAGCCTTCGCGCTTGAATTTAAGCCAACTGGTCAAAGTTGCTGCTGTGCACGTAGTGTAACAAGGGCTGGGGAGAAGTGAGCAAGGGGAGGAGAGGGGATGGTGAGAAAAAAGCAAACGTTGATAGAAGAAGGAAGAACATATAGCACTGACAAGACAGGAGACGAGTAGAAACAAATGCGGAGAGAGAAAGAAAGAGCGATAACAAGGAAATGGATAATAATAAGTAGATTTAGAACAAAAGCGACCGAAATAACAATGAGAGATGCCTAGAATAACAGAACTGAGCTAGTTAGTAAACATTCATTTCTAAAAGACTGGTCTGCCAACGAGGAGGCCAGAAAGAAAGAAAGAAAGAACGAAAGAAAGAAAGAAAGAAAGACACTACATATACTTTGGCGTTTTGGGTGTCTTGATATATATTTATTACGAATACGGTGACTTGCTACGCAGGCAAGTCACCGTACGTGTACGGTGACTTGCCTGCGTTAGCTCTGCGGCGTCTAACACAGT